GCACTAATTACCGCCAATGACTCCTTCGATACCCTCTAATCACCTAACGAATCCCTAATTAAAGCTTGGAAACGTCTCAGTTTGTACTCGTTGATCTGCACAACAGTAAAAGTCGTCATCTTTGTTTGTATGAGACCCATATATTTGGCGCATGCGTAGCGCGACAACTACCACTCTTTAAGTTTAGGTATTTTTCCATTTTTTAAGTTTATTTTTGTGGTTAACTTGAATGTGTTAGTACATGTGCGTTACCGTTCGCTGGTGTGCTTCTGGTATTTACTTTATTTTGTTTAATTAAGAAGTCTTCAATATTTCCCTCCTTTTCAGTGCTTTCCATACAGTCAAATATATTCCATATATATTCTGAATACCCAGTTTAGAGTACCAAAGTTACCCAAAGCAATTCCAGGCTTGTAGGCGTCTTTGGTTAATACGTTTTCAGGCATTTTTTTTTAATCTCAGCTAATAACAATCTGATTAAAATCTGATGTAGTGTACGGGCTTTAATTTTGTTGGCTATAAACTTATTTTTATTTTATTTCTTTTGTTATTAATGTATTTTTATTTAATTTTATTTTGATTTTGTGATTTTTTTTTTCAATTTCGCCCTACATACAATTACCAAACTTCAAAAAATAAATAATAGATCAAAATAAAATAAATATACAAAAAAAAGATAGGATCTTATTTTAATCAGATTGAGATAATATAAACGTTTGTTACAGTCCTGGGATTATTAGCCTATTTCAAAAATACATGCAATTTAGTAGGAATTCAAGTTGACATAAGGTTCATATATATTTTTTTTATTGTTCACAATATCATCTGCCCAGACTACACAGATGTATGAAAGAAAGCCCATTGTCACGTGACATGCGATGTGAAAAGTAAGAATCGAATAGCCATCTTTTTGTTGATATCGGTCACGTGATGGATATCGTGCACAATTGTCACGCACGGCGCAAACAGTGAGTGGCCTTCAGAGAGAGGCTTAGCCCCCTCAAGATGTCAATGTATTTGACACCTCGCCCGGCCCCGATAAAGTTTTCACCGTTTACCTAAATTTATTATCCGAGGTTCAGTAAGAACTGCTAATTTCCATTTGCCAGTCATTTGGACACGTGATCGATTATGTCATGTGTCAAGCCCTGAACATTATTCGTACCCGTACGAAAACTTGAATTTGTAGATTAACTTTTGCGTCTTTGTTACTCGCACATATTTTGATCGATCAAGTTCAAAGTCCACATGCATTTTCTGCATGATTGAAGATAGCTATACACCACCAAAAAATGCATCATAATTTCACATATATTTGCCATTCCGAGAGTCTTGTGGGGACAGATTTTGTTTTAACGTTGTGTACACAGTGAACAACATGGGCCCTGGATGCAAGTCATCTTATTCTTTGGATAGGCCGACTCGAGTGGAGTTCCCGAAGCAATAAGCATATCTCTGACTTGAAAATACTGAACAGTGACAGTCGGAATTAATAATGAAAAGATGAATACATCATGGACAGTCTATTAAATGAGGCGATCACACAACTGACTCCAGTTTGTAACATGCCTGTAATATATGTGTCAATCGGAAAACAATATATGCAACAATATTTCAGGTACCCATTGATGAATTTGGGTCAAATCTCTTGCATAACAAAAAGATTTGTTTGAGCTATTTAAATGTAGAACATCTCGAGAGATTACATGCACGTTACAAACGTAACAATATACACATGCATTACCTAAATTGCAACACATTTATTAATCTGTATATGCTGGATATCAAAAAGTCACGTTTTTTTCCGCAAAGAATCAGATTGCTGGCTGAGCGGGTCGCTCACTTTCTATCATTTCCCATCTTCGGTTGTGTGTGGTGCCAGTGCTAATGGGACAGTTTCCCCCGCCGGACCAGAGAAGTGATAACCGAATTTTTCTGTTGCGGAGGTTTCTTCCATATTGAACTCGGCGACGGTGACACCCCGACTTGCAACTGATGGCGCGAACATGGCTGCTGGGTACACAACTGACGACGTCCCTACAACCAAGCATAGATCACACTCTTCTAATTCACTCTCAGCATGTCTTATCACGCCCCCATCTAAACCTTCTCCAAACCAAACTACATGCGGTCTCGCAAGAGAATCGCACCCTACTTGATGACAGCGAGGAAGGTCTTTTTCGGGAATCCTTGCTTCTTCGGCTTCCGGGTCCGGCGCTCCTTTACCAGCTAAGGCAGGCACGATGGGACTGTTTCTGTCGACTCTCACAGTACCGCATTTTAAACAACGAACCTTAAACAGTGAACCATGCAACTCCGTGACATCGACAGCACCCGCGGCTTGATGAAGTTGGTCGATATTCTGTGTGATGACAGACACTCGGCGACCTTGGTTTGCTAGTCGTTTCTGACACTCGGCGATCGCATAGTGGGCCTTATTTGGCTGCTTCGATAACACTACTTCTCGCCTGTAGCTGTAAAACTCCCATACGAGTGAAGGGTTAGCAGAGAATGCTTCGGGGGTCGCCAAATCTTGAGCTCGCCACCTCCTCCAGTAGCCCCCAGCCCCACGGAATGTTGGGATACCACTCTCGGCACTGACGCCAGCACCGGTCAATATTACGACATGTTTTGATTTAGCGAACTCCTCGCGGAATGCTGCCATATCTGAGCTCGGCCGAGACGCCATGACGGACAAACACTTCAAATATTGTGTGACACAAACGCGGAAAACTGAAGAAATCAACATCACCTTTGATGAACCAGGAAGTTGAACTTTGAACTCGCCGGGGATGTTACACTAATGATGCAAACGTATATTCCCGCAAAACATTTCTTCACATTTTAACATGTAGTTCTAAAAATTAGTGTTCCATTTACGGATGTTACAATTTCCAAATGTGGATTTCAGAAAAGTTATACCGAGAGAAAGCGAAAAGGTCTTAAATTGAATAAAGCCTGACCCTTTTTTGATTGAGACAGCGCCACCACGTGACGTACATTGACAGTTCGTATTTTCAGTGCGTACTGATAATGCGGCAACAGCCACTGTGTAGCAGACATATCATCTGTATGGTTAGCTTGCATAACAGATCAAATGATATGATGTTAGCTAATCCGAAATAGATGCCCATAAATATATATAATTAAACGTAACATATTTGGAATAGCGTGGGTAGAGAGTGTAGTTAGAATCTCGTGCCTGACCTTCAATGCATTGCGAGAAGGCATCACCATTCTTCTAAACCGCGCCTCCAGTGATAGAGCGTTTTTGTGACGTCAATATAAACCATTTTCCCGGAAGTCGATGATACGTCGTTTTGCATGCGTGCACATGCCGGATATGGGGTGTAACGTAAAAATGCACGAGTGATACTGCACAGTAATGTGCTTCTGGGTGTATCAATCGACATCACAAAAATAAAATTCCATTCTATCGACTATCAGCAAACTGACACGTTTGTCTATTTCCGTCGTGGCAAAGCAAGCGTATTTCTACAACCAAGTTTCGCTACTTCAGGGAGGTGATCGATTAGGACAGTGTACTAGTAATTGAAATCGACCAATTTGTTTGGTTGTTTAGTCGATTGTTATCTATAATATAATAAGATATAATATATATATAATATAATGTAAATAAAGACACAAAATCAGCACAATTATAGTTTTAAACATTTCAATGTATTCTATGCATTATTTAGAACTTTGCGTGTACTTTTTGTACAAATCACTGCGCAGTACATAAACTAGATTTGAGTCCACGAATTAATAATGGTATGTATGGAAATGTATACATATATACATTTTGTCAGCGAGAATTCTTGAAAAGAAATTCGATACAAAGTAGCGGTCACGTGAACGGGTTCACACATTTTTATTCATCTTCAACTTCAATTTCAACTTCAATTTCACCTTTCAGCTCTTTAATCGTGTCCTTCACATCTTCAACAAGATTCGATACTGTTTTCATCAACGCGTCTATGACCGATGGCACTTTTCTAAACTCAGAGATGTTGCTTGCTGCGTTTTTCAGCGCCTTCGCCAGCTGGAAGCCGTTGAGACCGGAATCTTTCACCATAGCTGTGATCTCCTTAGACTGCTCAAAAATCTGTGCCGACTCCTTAGCCTTCTTCAAAAGATCCATCATTTTTTCTCCCAAATCTCCAATAGCGCTGAATGCTTTCACGACGTTATCTTCTTCAATTTCCACTTTGATTAACTCCCGCTCTACGTCATCACCATCGTCATCGTCATCTTTATCACCATCTTCTTCCTTAACATAGGACCCGAAATCGAGAACAAATTTACATCCATCCTGTATCTCAATGGAAAGATCAGCTGCAAATGATAAGAATATGAATTACATCCATAACATTATATAACAACTGATATTTCTGCTAATGGGATTGTTGTTATGATATGTAATATATAAGTTGCGCCATCTAGCGACGACGAGGTTCTGTGACGTGAGGGACGCTGTGATCAGCGTCGATAGTTTTTGATTTGTAGCCGTCTACCAATAACAACTAGTTTTCTTTACATGTTATACTGTATTCTAAATGAGGAAATACTAAACAACGTAACAGAGTTGTCTATTTGCACGTCATTTCATAGTCTGGTCTACGTCATGCTGACGTCATAAGAGTGTTTATTCGCCAGAGGGTACTACTATTAAAGACACTGCTACACATATGTATCGTGTCTGGAATAAAATGTTAAAGCGGGGAAGACGTCACCTGCGCCAGATGGACATAGCGTGTCAATGATTACAAACAAGCGTTTACCCATGAGCCTTTACGTTTTAGCGTGTGTTATCCTCGCTTGGGAATCAATTCCCGCGCGTGCGCAGGTGACGACTCTCCCGCTTTAATTTTGTCGCACAAAATTAGTATTCATACATGTGCATGCATTGTGACTTACTTGTATGTGCTGTGATGAACATTTGCATAATTAATGCTTGATTAAATATTAATTACAGTAAACAATTTTTCGCAAATTCCTCTAGGTAAATATTTAATAATTAAGTGTTAACAAACGTATTGCGAAGATACACTTTTTTTTTAATTTGTTACATTGAATAAGCGAAATACAAAAGAGTTAGTTTCATCATGATGGTATATATTTGTTTGCCGCAAAATCAATTAGCATAGTTGACCTTGTGTGTATATTAACGTACGACACATAAATTTACCAAAAGTAATTGGGTATATAGGTTTTAAATACCCCGTGAAAGTGTTCTAGGTTCTTCATGTAATGAGGTGTTTGTATACAAGTGATTTCCCACGCGAAAACGACAAATGCGGTGGAATTGACCGCCAACGGATTGTTTGGCTGTGAAAGTTTGGTATTATCAACCTGATTTTTGAGAAAAGTTGTGTCTTTATTATAGTTTCGAGTCGGATTTGAGATGGCTGCCCCTATATAGTTAATATCGGTAAATTATTCGCATTTATTTTATTATCACTTGTACGCCAACTGACTGAGGGTATAGCGCCATCGCAGTTGAGCATAGCGCCGTGAAAGTTGAGCATTGCGTTTTCGCAGTTGCACGACAGTCATTTACTTACGGTATCTACGTTTCAAGTCAAGTATGATGACCTTAATACTGTCATCTTTCTTGTGCCCAGTTGAAACTTTGAACGTCTCAATCGTTTTATCAATCTGTTCTTTGAGTTCAACTGCTCCGTTGAACGGCGCCACGGCCTCCTTGAACATTTTATCAACACCTGCGACTTTAGTTTCCTTGATCTCTAGTTTAGAAACTTTCTTTTCCTTTGTCTTCGCCTTTTTAACCTTTGTTGTATTATCAGGCTTATTGTTGGCGCCATTCGACTTATTCTTTTTTTCTGTTTTTTCCGTCTGTCAAAATGGTGAGAATATATTATTTTATAATCTGTTCAGCATATCACACTCTACGTTTTTTGAATAATATTTTTCTCGAAGTATTATATATTTTTAGCGATTTTAAAAATTGAAGTACTTACTGGCATTGGCGTCGGTGGTAACGACAGGATTGCACCAAGCTGAAAAAGATACCGGTCAAAATGCTACGTGACTATGTGTTAAAATTCACGGTGATTCGACGTTGATAACTATTTCCGCATTTTGCATTTTTGCACAGAAAACAAATCTACATTGTGCGTTTAAACCGCCCAGTATGCGGTATCTGTTCTTCGGGATTCATTGTTGTTATGAAACACATTACAATAGCAACAACCCAACTGTAAGTTTTACCGTGATTGTGCGTCAATGTTCGACGCCCAATTGAAACAGATTGCCCTATTGGTCCCAGTGCACACTTTTCTAACCACTCAACTTGCGCCTTTCAAATACGTTACTCTCTACCAAACTTGCTTTATATTTATCTTACCTGTATTATCTTCCAACCATCTTCAACCCTGATGTACAGCTGCTGTGTATCGTGAATAAATGCTAGTCGGCCTATAGAGGTCGCTCTTGCATTCTCTTGCATATCATCCACACACTGGTAAGTATCAACCTATAATAAAAAAAGCAAAAAACACGTTCTTGCACAAATTTGTAATGATTACCCCGATCATTCTGTTTTAGCGCATCTACGTCTAATGGCATTGATTGACAGCAGTTAATTATTCATGCTTAGCAGCGCCTCTGTTTACAGGCTCGTTCGTTTTTTTCGAACTTATTCGACAAAAGCTCAACTCATACCGTTTTTATTGCAATGAATATAACATACAATCATTGCTGTGAGCAACTTTGGTACTACATAATCGATCTATACGTTGAAGGAAACATGAATATAAAGTTACCGGGGTTTAACAGGAGCTGTTACCTGGAAGTAACCTCCATTGATAAGAAGCGTATATATATTATCCTTTGGCCTTTAAGCTCGTAGATTGCACGAGGTTGCTTTGGTTTTGCGCTCCATATGGGGGTTAAGAACGTTAAGATTTTGGTCCGAAGCAGCAGGCTTGGCAGATCTTCCCATCTTCTCACTAATTTAGTTACTTCCACTGAGCCACTTCAACATAACTCTCGAAAATATCACATATCCGCGGTAAATATCGTGATTAGAACTTACATCATGAAATAATGAATTCACAACCAGAGTACCATTCTTCTAATGGTATGTTTATGGAGTCGTCGGGGTGTCATATCATATATTATATATTATAATGGTTTTGAATGGTATAACATTATCGGAAATCGACACAGTTGAGGGATCGTGGCAACACAAAAACATCAAATCATAGAATAATAGCATGTGTTGTCCTACCTTCTCCCCGTCAGATGACGTACAACACCCCATGCTGTAACTAGGGTTAAGACCGACCGTAGAACGTGAGTTTAACGGAAGGAGCCGAAGACGGAAGGATGTGTCTCGTTTCTGAGAAAGGACTCCCTAGCTTGGCTGCGATCCGTACACTCGTGACAGTCTTCGAGTTATTTGTGTGGGGAAATCTGACACTTTCACTTTCGCCTCGGTCATTATTTTCGCTCTATAGAGGGCCTGTAGCAATACGTATTGTAGTATTCCGCTCTGTCGGAACACATATGGTCTGATTTTAGGCGGCGAACTTGACTTGGGTTTTTCGGCAAGCATGTATAGTGGCGGCGGCACGAGAGGGTGCCCCGAAAAAAACATTTGGGCGTCGCCCCTCCCCAATTTAGCTGAAGCCCGTGGGTCATTAAACGTCATCAAACTCAGCTACGTATGTCAGCAAAATTTGCCTTTCAAAATGCAGGAAATATAGCGTTTCATGTCCCCGGACCCCCCAGTAAGGTCGGGTGAGCAGATCTCGCCCATGCAAAATTTCGTACCTCCACCTCTGACGTGGGATAAATACTCTATCCTACAGTATTTGGGGGCGGGCGGTGTAAAACCAAATCAGCACTGACCCACAGGCTCTTCTAAGAGTGGGGGGGGGGGGGGTGACACATGACAATCAACAACCTTTTGTTCGGTTGGCCCGGTGTCGAGACTGGGGCGTTGATCGACAGAGCACGTCTACATGAAACCTATTTCTGACCAAAAAATAGTTATTAGTTGATCTCCAAAAAAATGTTGTGATCTGACCGATCATGTATGTAACGGTACGTGTACTCTCTACTACGTACGCATTGAAATCAGACATGGAAGTGCAGATAAACAACCAATGATTATCCCATGGAACGAAGAAGGTCCTTCTTCCTTCCATGATTATCTGAACATTGATTATGTGGACCTTAATAATCCAAACATTGATTATGTGGACCTTAATAATCCAAACATTGATTATCCAACACCAATTATCTTAACATTGCTTATCAAAACACTATAATTATCCTGTATTTAATTATCAAAATACTAATTATTCATACGGTAATTTCCAAACAATTATTATCAAACATTAATTACCCAACACCAATTATCCAACTATTGATTATCTAAAAACACTATAATTATTCTGTATTTAGTTATCTAAACATTTATTATCATACCATTGCTTATTTAAAAACAGTATAATTATCATTTATTGAGTTATATAAACATTGAATATTCAAACATTAGTTATCCAAACATTAATTATTCAAACATTGTTTATCCGAACATTAATCATCCGAACATTGATTATCCAAACATTGATAATTCAAACATTAATTATTCGAACATTGATTATCCAAGCATTAATCATCCAAACACTGATTATCCAAACACTAATTATTCAAACATAAGTTATCCAAACATTAATTATCCGAACATTGATTATCCGAACATTAATAATTCAAACATTAATTATCCGAACATCGATTATCCAAACATTAAGTCATCCAAACACTGATTATCCAAACACTAATTATTCAAACATTAGTTATCCGAACATTAATTATCCGAACATTGATTATCCGAACATTGATAATTCAAACATTAATTATCCGAACATCGATTATCCAAACATTAATCATCCAAACACTGATTATCCAAACACTAATTATTCAAACATTAGTTATCCGAACATTAATCATCCGAACATTGATTATCCAAACATTGATAATTCAAACATTAATTATTCGTACATTGATTATCCAAGCATTAATCATCCAAACACTGATTATCCAAACACTAATTATTCAAACATTAGTTATCCGAACATTGGTTATCCAAACATTAATTATCCGAATATTGATTATCCGAACATTGATTCTCCAAACATTAATTATCCAAACATTGATTATCCAAACACTAATTATCCAAACATTAGTAATTCCGAACAATTGATTATCCGAACATTGATTATCCAAACATTGATTATCCAAACATTGATTATCCAAACATTAGTTATCCGAAAATTGATTATTCAAACATTAGTTATCCGAACATTGATTATCCAAACATTAATCATCCAAACATTGATTATCCAAACACTAATTATTCAAACATTAGTTATCCAAACATTGATTATCCGAACATTGATTATCCAAACATTGATAATTCAAACATTAATTATCCGAAAATTGATTATCCAAACATTGATTATCCGAACATTAATTATTCGAACATTGATTATTCAAACATTGATTATCTAAACATTGATTATCTAAACATTGATTATCAAAACATTGATTATCAAAACATTAATTGTCCAATCAACAAATCATTCGAACATTGATAATTTAAACATCAATTATCCAAATATTGATAATTCAAACATTGATTACCCAAATGTTAATTACCCTAACACTCATTATCCAAACATTGATTATCTAAACATTAGATTATCCGAACATTGTTTGTCTAAATATTAAGTGCCCAAATTTTAAATTTGCCAAACTCTTTATTTTTACAGTAAATTAAGAATTATCACTATCATGATACAGTGATTTGATTCACATTTGTGTTGATATGTGTGGATATACACAAATATGCCCGGAGAAACTGTGGTCAATGTTTTATCA